GATAAGTCTGGCCAGGGGTTTATCGATCTTATTAATTCTTTCAAAGAACCAGCTCCTATTTTCGTTGATTTGTTCTATTGTTTTTTTGGTTTCTATTTCATTGATTTCTGCTCTGATCTTTATGATTTCTCTTCTCCTGCTGGGTTTAGGCTTTTTTTCTTGTTCTTTCTCCAGCTCTTTTAGGTGTAGGGTTAGATTGTGTACCTGAGACCTTTCTTGTTTCTTGAGAAAGGCTTGTACCGCTATATATTTTCCTCTCAGGCCCAGTATAAATTTTTTAAGGAAAGACTAGACTTGTTTTTTTCTTGAATTTACCCTTCCTACTTAGAAAAATGGCTGGAGGCCCTGACGAGCTCTGAAGTAGGACTCAACCCGGGTGTGGCTGAATATAGACCCTGAGCTCCTTCCACTGGGATTTTAGAATAGTAGTCATAATAATTATTAATATTATTTTGAATTCTTACTATGCACCAGGACCCATGCTGAGCATTTGAGGTGCATGATCTTATATAAATCCCAAATAGCTCTTTGAAGCACAGACCAATACCATGAACACCATGTTGCAAAGGGAGGGGCTACAGTTGGAAGGTGTAAGGGACACGTCCAGGAAGTCCTCCCAGGCAGGGCTCAGTGGATAACCTGAGTCATGTCCACTGGGCCTTCTTACCTCCTTCCCCAGCAGAGATGGCCACATGTGGGGCCTACACCACAACTCCATGTCTGAAGTCATCCTTAAGGGTTTCCCAGCCAATGGTAATGGAAAAACCTAAAGGGAATCAATATAAAGAGAGTGAGCTGTCAAGGAGATAACATCCTGCTAACATTTGTCAAATTACCAACCCACAGTTGGTAGATAATTCACCAGTAAAAGTTGGGTAATTAGGCATTGAACATTACATCAAAAACCAATGATGTACTATACCTTGGCTAATTGAATTCAAATTTTTAAAAAATTGAGTAATGGGAAGAACTGGGTACTATGCATGAAAGGAGAACACAACTTTAAAAATACAGATAAAAAACAGAATTTTGAGGAGAGATTCATTCCAGGACATGGGAACCAAGGAGCTAGATATTGCTTTGCTACTTTATGAAGATTCCTGAGTTAGAGTGGTTGATGTCAGAAGTAGTGGTAACTGGGCATTGGAAATACCACCTACATCTGTTCTCTCATGGTTGGTTTTATTGTCTGCCCCAAAGAGCAGGTTGTTTGAGGGAATTCCACTTGTAGCATGGATGATGCCCCCTTTCTTCACTGCACTTCAGGGTAAGACAGTGTGAAGAGGAATAGACTCCCAAGGAATAGAGACTTTCCTCCTATGTCCACTTTCAAGTGAGATCCAGTAGAGAGGCATTCACCAAATGGATTCAGTTCAGCAAGGTCATGACAATGATACATTACTAGAGGTATCTTAAGTGGATAAGGAGGAAGCCTTACAATTGATGTCACATGGAAACTCCTTCTAAAAACATCTATAAAAGACTCCTCAAACTCAACACTCAAAAAACATAATCACGTCAAAAAAGGGGCAGAAGACATGAACAGACACTTCTCCAAAGAAGACATACAAATGGCTACCAGATGCATGAAAAAATGTTCATCATCATTAGCCATCAGGAAGATTCAAATCAAAACCACATTGAGATACCACCTTACACTGTTAGAATGTCAAAAACTGACAAGGCAAGAAACAACAAATGTTGGAGAGGATATGGAGAAAGGGGAACCTTCTTTCACTGTTGGTGGGAACGCAAGTTGGTGCAGCCACTTTGGAAAACAGTGTGGAGATTCATTAAGAAGTTAAAAATAGAGCTACCCCCTGACCCTGCAATTGCACTACTGGGTATTTACCCCAAAAATACAGATGTAGTGAAAAGAAGGGCCACATGAACCCCATTGTTGTAGCAGCAATATCCACAATAGCCACACCATGGAAGGAGCCAGGATGTCCTTCACCAGACGAATGGATAAAGAAGATGTGATCCGTCTATACAATGGAATATCACTCAGCCATCAGAAAGGATGAATACCCAACATTTGCATCAGCATGGATGGAACTGGAGAAGATTATGCTAGGTGAAATAACTCAAGTAGAGAAAGTTAATGAGAAAGTGGTATGGTTTCACTTATTTGTGGAATATAAGGAACAGCATGGAGGACATTATGAGAAGGAAGGGAAAAATGAAGGGGGCCGAAATCAGAGGGGGAGATAAACCATGACAGACTATGGGCTCCAGAAAACAAACTGAGGGTTTTAGATGTGGGGGTGGGGCATGGGTTAGCCGGTGATGTGTATTGAGGAGGGAACGTATTTCATGGAGCACTGGGTGTTATATGCAAACAATGAACCATGGAACACTACATCAAAAACTAGTGGTGTACTGTATGGTGACTAACATAAAATAATATAAAAGAATTTTAAACAAAATTTTCTGAAAAAAAAAAAGTGGTTTCCCAGGTCTGGGAGTATTGGGAGCTGGGGAAGAAATGGGGAATAAATGGGTAGGGGTTACCTTTTTGGGTGACAAAAATGTTTCAAATTGATAGTGGTGATGATCACATAACTTTGAATATACTAAAGACCAACTGAATTGTGTACTTTAAATGGGTGAATTTTATGGCATGTGGATTATATCTCAAGAAAGCTGTTTGATTACAAATAAAACTAATGTCTGAACACAAACCAATGGAGGAAAAAGAAGAAAAGTTCACATTTATTGCACCTGCCATGTTATGGGTGTTGTCACACATCTTTACCAATTATACTCAGTGGTCACTGTTAACCCATTTTACAGATGAGGCTACAGTCATCCTTCTACCTTTTTCTAAAACCACCTTCACACTGGCCACTTAAATGTTGGAGGGATAAAGTTTGCTAAGGAAGGTCTTCTTCATGGCAGTCTTCAGCTCCTTGTTCCTGAGACTGAAGATGATGGGACTGAGGAAGGGCGTGAGGACTGTATAGGTGATGGCCATCAAGGTATTACTTTCCTGGGAGTGAAGACCCTTGGGCTTGAGGTAGATAATTGAGGCAAAGCCATAATGCACAATGACCACAATAAGGTGTGAAGCACAGGTGGAGAAGGCTTTGTGCCTGCCCTCAGCAGAGGGGATCTTCAAGATGGTGGCCACAATTAAGGTGTAGGAGAGGAGGATGAGGAGAAAACAGCCCAACAAGTTGGTGATGCACACCAGCCCCACACCTAAGGCCACTATTGGTACATCTGTTCCACAGGCCAACTTCAAGAGAGGGGGCACATGACATAAAAAATGGTGGATCTCATTGGGTCCACAGAAGGTGAGATGGAAAATGGCAGTGGCAACCACCAGCCCTATGACCGAACCACCAGCCCAGGACCAGGCCACCAGGCAGGCGCAGCCACGAGGGCTCATGAGCACATTGTACCGCAATGGGTGGCAGATGGCCACGTAGCGGTCATAGCGCATGACAGTGAGAAGGAAGGAGTGGGTGAAGCCGAATGTGAAGGAGAAGAACATCTGGCTGGCACAGGCTGCAAAGGCGATGGTGCAATGGGTGGAGAGCAGGTCGGCCAGCAGGCGCGGGGTGATGGCCAAGGTGTAGAGGATCTCAGAGATGGACAGTGCACACAGGAAGAGGTACATGGGCGTGTGCAGGCTGCGTTCACTCCAGACAGTGGCCATGATGAGCAGGTTCCCCAGCAGCGTGAACAGGTACATGAGCAGGAACAGCAGGAAGAAGATGGGCAGGAGATGAGGTGGGAAGGTGGAGAAGCCCAGGAGGATGAATTCAGAAACGGAGCTGTGGTTTAGGCCCAGAGTGGCAGCCATCCCTGGGTGGAGAGAGAGCGGAGGCGGCCTGGTGGGCAGGAGCTCCGGGACCAAGCTGAGCCCAGGCCAGAGGACTTCCCGGGGGAAGAGGGGACCCTCACCCTGCAGACCGTGGGCCATTCCCTCTGCCACCCAATGCTCATAATGACTGTCACTGCACCTGGGAGTTGCATGGGGTTCATGGAACATCATGAACCTCAAGTGCATAGGGAGGGCCCTGGAGCATAGTAAGAATGCAGTAAAAATAATACTAATAATAATAACTACAACTACTGTTATTACTATTATTGACTCCATGCACAACCTCCTGGCTTTGCTGCCTTGGAGCATGCTGGCCACTCCATGCTTATCTCCAACTCTGTGATTCAAAATCCATCCTGAACTGTAAGTGCAAACTACTCCCTAATTGCTATCTTCAGCTGGAGGGCACATCTCCTGTGTGGCATGGAGAGGATATAGGCACTGTTTAATTGTCAGTATTGCCCCTTACTGGCTCCCTGGGAACGTGGAATAATATTTCTTATTCCATAGGGCTGTAGTAACACTAAGGTGAGGTGTGCACGTTCAGCTCTTAGGTACTATTGTTGTTGTGTGGTCCTACTTGTGTGAGTCCCCCACAAGGATGTGGCACTGACCAGCATCACCAGATCACATTCTCCCACCCCTTCTGGGCACTCTATCTCTGGTCACTTAACAATGCAATTCACTGAATCTCCTTCCATGTCCTCAAGCCCTACCCACTCTCCTGTCCCCAGTCGCCTGCTTCGTGGAGCAACCAATGCTGGCAGCTGTGGGTTCTCTCAT